GTATCTTCGGATGTTAATTGTTTTTCTTTGAGTTAAAGATAGCACATCCGGAAGTAGAAGTTTAAAAGGAGAAGGGGTAAGTGTTGATATTCTAATTACAAAATTTCCGGCATTTCGGACAAGCATCAACGTGGAAGCGTACCAGATTGAATGACTTTATGTTGATTTATATTCGATAAACAGTTGAGCCAGGGATAACAATTTACAAAAACAACTAGAAGGTATATAAGTGCCTCAGGATATTTGAATAAATGATTGTTCACAAGTGGCATTTGTAAACCCTCTCAAAGGTGAGTACGCAAACGTCGAGACAATGTGGGTGCACCTGAAAAACCATCTTACACCGCATAAAGGTTCAAAATGAAAAATGTTTTTCAGCCTTGTGGATGAATTAACATATCGCAATTCCTTTGATCTCAAATCTCAAGAAATTCTAAATAACATTGAGAAACTCATATCATGTAAAAACATGGCATACAATTCAACTACTTGTTTTCTATAACTTGTTTGTCAGAAACTAGTCGTTTACATCGTTTACTTTTTGGTTAGATACAAACGGGAGAAAAAACCATCAACATCATTTTCGTAGTCTTTTAAATTTGTCCCAATGATTTAGTTTTACTATTAAAACTACTATAAGACATTTTAAAACGGATGAAATGAGAATAGGATACTGAAAATCATACAAGACAATAAAAATAAAAGCTTCTGAGATCGCGAGTTTCTGACTTGCTTGTTAGGGATTCCTAGAAATAGAAATCTCCTACCATAACACTATTAGATAACATCTTAGTTTTATAACCTTAGAATTGCCACTCACTTTACCATAGTATCACATAAACATAAAGTAAAATGAGACGAATAAATCAAACGAAAATACAACGGGACTAAAAGTGAAATCAATTTACCAGCTTCTATTTCCAGCGGTGTTAAAAATTCAATAGGTGTTCCCATTTTTTTAAACAGAAAGATGGAAGAAATATTCACGACGAATATTCTTGCATTACATGAGTGTTAATTTATCCAAATGATAATTTTAAAATTGGCAATGATTTAAGGAACACTCATCCCATCAGACAATCGAGTAATCCACATCACGAAAATAATCGACAAGGCGATAAAGAAATGAACAAGTTTTTTCAATTGTGGAAATATTTGTGATCGATTGTGTGGTGGTGATAGTGATACGGACAGGATGGACATGGTTACAGCAACCTTAATAGGTGAATTAACCAATCATAGGATTCGATAATGAAAATGGTTTGTATTTATGTCAGATGCTATACAAGACACGTGATTAGCTAGGGGCAGACATGGAGAATATAAGAAAGTGAAAAGTTAGATTAATTCGCCAATTGAGGATATATTGGAGGATTTGCAAGAGTTTTATCCGGTTGCATCGATTGAATAACTTAATATACATGAAATCCAACCTGTATGAATATATTAATTATGATTGATGTTACCTAAACACATAGAAACATGATACTGCAAACCTAATGTGGTCAATCAGCAATGGACAAGCACAGGATTTAGCTATGGGTTTTTACAGAAAATTTATTCTTCCCTAAATGCCATTTTAAGAGCAACCTGTCTTAGACCAACAGTTTTCTGTAAAAGGGCTTTTGACCTCTATGCAAAATGGAATTTATCATGTTGAACTAGTAAATGCCAGAATCCTGAAAAAATCAGTCATATTAAGAACTTTATGAAAATAATATAGACCACCCTCTTGGAAAATAACTAGTCATAATTAATAATTTATTTTGTACAAATTTACAGTTAAGTGTGCTTATTCCTTTTAATCACCATGTTACTTCTGAGATTTAAAGAAGCAGATTATTACTGTAGATATTTTGAGTAGACAGATGTACTAGAAGTAGGTCCGACAAAAATCATAGACTGTTGGATGACAGTCATAAGTGAACGCACTCGAATCTATGTCTCGTTAGTAGCTTGCTATGTCAAGTCAGAGTAAAATAAACACGACAAACTGTAGTTGAAACATAAGTGAACCTAGTGTCATCATTCCGAAACATGAACGTGAATAAAGGATACTGGAGATTGAGAGACTCAAAGATCTAGGATCTAGTTTTATACCTTTATTCTCCATATATCAGTTATTTACTAGCCGGATAGAATGCACAGTAAACATTAGGGACAGTAAAGCCGAGTATAACTGTATAAAGAAATCACAGAATCAGATTTTTGGAAAGTGATGTTACAGTCGACTACTCCTTTTAGTTAACCCAAATCTGTATCAAGAAAAAAGCATGTTTCATACACTACCTGGATTCCTTCCGTCAGTGTATAAAATCATTTTATTGTATAAATCATAACTGTAAAAAAAAACAGGCCCCCAAATGCCCTGGTAGGACCGAGAGTGGGGAGAGTTAGCTCGCCCTCTCGAAATGCTCTCACATGGCCACGTGCATACAACCACTGCCAGGGAAGTCCTACTTACTGCCTTCTTGCGGCATCACTATTGTTTACGAAATTGAAAGAACGATAAGCGAATGTCCATCGCTTTAACCGGGTTGGTGGACATGCAGAGTCCATCTAGGCGAGTTGAAAAACCCTGATTCCAAACTAATGGTGCACATGGGCTCCAGGATGCTGAGGGAACAAATGGCGTATGAAGCAATTATTGGTCACCGGTTACCATGGGACTGCCTCTCCTTACATTGCTCCACCGCATTGTGGATCAGACCTTCAGGTCGAAGGCTCCGGGTGTGTCCCCCTAAGAAAACCACCTGCTTTGTTTTGGGCACCCGGGCAGTATCACAGCCCTCACACATATCAAAGTAGATCTGTGTGGCGCATATGTATTTGGTGTCTCCTTGTACCAATATCGGTGTGTTAAAATAAAATAAACAGGAATCCCATAAAAATTTAAATATTCAGTAGCCACAAACAGTAAGTATAAAATCCGGTATTACATTTACCTTAGATGCCTTATTTAATTCAAAAAATAACTATCTCTTATTACGAAGTCATTCATCCCAATAATCAATGCTTTGATAGGCTGGATTTTAAACAAAACCATCTGTAACTACTTATATAGATGCAAAGTAGTACATTGTCGTTGAATAAATTTCCTACTATTCGATTAGTATTCAAAAAGCTCCAGATTAAAGTGAAGCGAAATTTGTCAAGCACAGTCAAGAAGTTTTTCGTCGAAGAGGATGACACAGTGAATTAGTTTAAACGAACTCCTACTTTAATAATCCAGCGCACTAGCTTTATGTACACCTAATTTTTAATTCAGGAAAATGTAATCATATAAATGTTATTTCAAAATCCATTGTATCAAACAACAGTGAAAACAAAGAGCAATGAAGAGGGTGTTAATTTGAATCTTAATAGGAACCAAAATGAGCAGGATATTGCTACTTCTAACAGACAACTTACAAACAAGAAAAATTTAACTGCTGTTCAACATCAAATGTAATAATAAGCAAGAACTACAAGAATAATGACAAAATCATTCAAATAATAAGCTTCCGATGAATAAAATGACATTGATATTAATGTAATTAATCGTTGAATCAGAACTACAGTTGTGTGGTCAAGGTATGATTACTGTGAATGGATTGACAAAAAATAACAAAATGAAGTTAATAACCCAAGCCACAATTTCTCCATTATGTAAACATATGATTTTATGTTTAAACATCTAATTAACCTTAAAATTCAATTTTATTGGACGATAAAAAAGCGAAGAAAAGCATATTACAGATCTTTAATTAAAAGTATAATTTTTATAAATATTGAAAAAGTAAGAATAAATAAGGTGATTTGTGTAGACGATATAAACAATCTATGACGTAGGATAAGTATGTAGTTTGAATCAAAACAATGACAAAATAAAAACAAAGAAGTTGAACTAGTGGTGTCAATAGCACTGGAAAACCAAGTATGAGAGACATAGTTCAAAAAAAATGCATGACTGATGGGATGAACTGTTTGAAATAAGATCATGGTAAAGATTTAGAGGTGGATGAGAAATGAACGTATATGTGGCATCGTGACCAGTTAGTTATGGGTGAAAAAGTTGTGACTAACTGGACCAACGAAGATGATAACACTGTATGGAGAGTGTTAGGGTGGAAAAACGTTAAAGAATGATACAAAGAAGTGATTCAAATGTGACCAAGCTTATATTTAAGTTTGAAATTTCCGATTTCACTGCTTATTTACATTATTGACAATCAATAAAAGTTAATAAGATTACCTGATACCCGATGTCATATTATAATTAAAAACCTTTAAAGAAATTATTCATTCAAGACAAAAAATAACAAAACCACCAAGGGCTGAAATTAATTAGTATAAGTAATTGACCTTTCAACAGCTATTTTAGGTTCGCACTCTACCGCACTTACATCACTTTATGAAACCAAGTAATGTCAAAATAATTCATTAACATGAAACCTTGTACGAAAGTATATAAATTCTGTGAGGCAGGAAATGAAACTCAGAAAAAAGAATGTTGGTCAGGAAAGGAATATAACTGATAATAAAAAATTTTGATTGACTGTGAGTCATTTCTTACAGTAAATCAAACGTGTAAAAGACCTCACCCATTAGGTATGTCCATCTGTGCTAAACTCAAGATGAGGGTCATTGATTGCATAGACTGGGGTCGCTTTCCTTCCATTGACTCAATCCTACTTGAGTTAGAATGATTTTACAGACGATTTATGTGGTATTCCTAATGAATTATATTTTTGATTTTTAAGTCATCTAAATAAACTGATTACATTTCTACCAACTAGGCATATATTTAAATTAAACAACTGCATTAGAAAATACACACCTCACGCCATACTTCCAGATTCTAAAAAGACAGGATTTTGTTTTAAACTATGACTAAAGAATATTGTTTGCGTAATTTAAGCTGATCAGAGAGTACCCTGGAAAGTACGTTTCAGAAAAGTTAAATAATTGGATTTAATCGTTGATAACTTGAGCAAACAAATCGAAAAAAATCTGCTTACTAAAATAATCAAGAGTATTTTCTATCTGTTCTGTTGTTAAACTGAGAGTGTCGTCGTTCTCGTCTTCTCCTTCAGAACGGTCCTCCTCTGAGTTCAATTCAGTTGTTCTATTGAGAGTATTGGTTGTATAAGAACTAATGTATCCTATTGTAGTTAATTCGGATGATGATTTGGGCAAGGGATATTTGCTAGAAAAGTCACGAGTAATTCGTCTGGCAGATCTAAAATCCTTGTTTCTATAACCTAAGAAGGCAGTGCATGGATCCACTCGAAGACGATAGCGTGGGATTGAATGTCGTTGACTGGTAAGACTAATTAGTTCAATATCCGCTACAAAATTGTCGTCTTGAACAACGGTACTATTAGACGTTTGGTCTTTTGAACCAATCACAGATATTTGGTTTGAAACAGTATGAGCTGGATGAGTGGCTGCGTTTAACTGAGGAGAATAATGGGGATAATTGGGAGGTGTTTCTGAGTACGAATGTAGGGATTTGAGCTCTTCGGTTAAACAAATTTGCAACTGATTATCAACATCTTGGCATAATTGAACATCGGAGCAGTTTGTGTTATCTATAGAAATGAACTGGTCATTAAATATTTAAAATAACATACTTTTGGAGATTAATTAATATTTGAAGTTAAGGAAAGGATTGAAACTAAACAACGATATTGAGTGGGATACAGCAGTGTAACAAGATAATTATCATAAGTTGAGCCGATAAACACAGAATGGGAGAGGTAATACTTCATGTTTTAAGATAATTATGGACGTGATTGTACAATATCCAGAACACCACGCTAGTCCGTTTGTCCGAACAGTGGAATATGAAGTTTTCCAGAGGCCTTAGCAAGATTGGAAGTGGACATCAATTTTTCCTACTTGAAATGACTCCATACAATCTTTTTCAGGGAAGTTAAATTTATTTTATTCGCTTAATACCTGACGCTTCGGCTCGAACTAAAAAAGCGGAATAATGTTAAAGGTCTTAACCACCTAAGACTAACACCATATAACCCACAGAGAAATTTTCCGATAATGGATACACACCCATACCTTTTTAACAGTTTCTGTTGTGTCGACTCCATACCTGTTAAAGTTTCCCGCCAGTATCTGATATCTGTATGGCAAAAGGCATACTATTTTTAGGGTTAATCTGTTTAAAGTCACCCTCTCGTTGCTGTGAAGGTAGCATCGCTGAAGATGTTGGTCATTCACAAAAAGGTACTTCATTGACACTACACTTTAGTAAAGTTAGTAGTATGACTCAGTAAAATCTTAAATTTGCTGTTTTTGACCTTACCGCTCTTTACTAAACTTGGCTAGCATGGTGGGATTTTGCGGACCATTTTTTTTACTACTATAGCCCGACTGGGTTGACTCTACAAATAGATTCAACCAACGAGCCACGGTAGCAGCTCTGATTGAATCGTTGACGTAACTCATACGGCTATATGTAATACTTGTATAACATACTTATAGAGCCTCTAATATATCGAAACCTAATATTTACATAATGTAAAGAATATGTTATTACGTGAGCGATAGATATATTGCATGCATTTTTAATACTACTATGTAAATTAAAGATGACTTTCTGTTTCTGAGCTGTACGAAAAAAATCTCATCGAGATCTTATGTCACCTCAGCACCATTGTGATACTTCTAGAATGCTATAAATCACTATTAGTTTGGCATTACTATGCCTATTATCATTAGCACACTTATACAATGAAATAATATGGACTAATTGTAGATAATGTCAGAGGAATTTCAACAGTTCTTCAGCCGGCCAATAAAAATGTCAGAAACATTTAAAGTAGTAAAAGCAGAAGGAAGCGTTAGTAAAAACAGTCTACTAAATTTGATGGGCGAGGAACTTAGTAGATTGATGAGATTGACGATCTGAAATATAAGTTGGGCATTAGTACCGACGACTAATGTTCAGTGATTATCTTCCGCAAAGAGTGTGAGTGTAAGCTCCCTTGTTTGGTTGATCAAGTTAAGTGGCTTGAGGACACTAGACCTGGTGAGTATGATACACAAGAACTTAAAAATGCATAGAAAATTAGTCTGTTTCTGTTTGGAACACAATATGCAAGAAACTAAATAAATGTTTCAGACTATATATTCAAGATAAGGTGAACAAAGCTGTGATCAAACAAGAAACGATTGTATAAGCACCTTACCCATCAGTAAGTGCTCCAAAGATATTTGATTTCCTCTGGCATCCCTCTGAAATGATAATAGGATTAAAAACAGTACGGCAAAAAGGGAATACACAAGTGTTGCAAGAACTACACTTTAACTTAAACATTAGATATAAACCGGAAATCATGGAATAGTTTTAACGATACGCTCTCGTAGATAAAATACAAGCTAAACAACAAATTTTTAGCATGGTTAATACATATCAACATGAAAAGAAACAATGAAAACCGACAGGCTGGCTATTAGCCGCCTACTGAAGCAATATAAATAAGCGGAAACAACAATGTGTCTAACCAAATTCACAAACTAGCAATGGATAAATATGAACACAACTGGAACAGTGAAAGTTAAAGTGTTAGCGGAAACTTGGAGAAGACTCTGGAGTCTTTTCTTGTAAGAACCATAAATATACTAATGTTTTTCTTATTGTGCTTCCTACTTGCATCAACCCTTGTTATTTGGAATATAATTTCCTTCTTGTTCAACCGTGTTCTGATTTGGGGACTTGTCGAGTGAAATGATGTTCAAGAATACTAAGCAATAGAAATAGCTGGGTAGTAATAAGAGAAATTATGACAAAGATAACGAGTAGTACCTCTTTAGAAGTAAACAATGTTATTTCATGCAAAACAAATGATACAACAGCAAAAGACAGACTCAAAATCACCTACAAAACAGATGCTTTCCATCATGATAAGTATCATATCGGACAAAATAGATCCCCTTTCCACCTAATCAAACACGAACGCAAACTACCAGTGAAACGACACGATGCGCTATCACTGATGTTCATTTGAATAGACAAATACAAACGTGAATTTAACTATAAAAACTTCAAAAATTTGGATCGTTGAAGTTCTGAGAGCATAGGATTTAAATTATTCAGTAATCAATGAACACAGTTTGTACTCCATTTACTAACCCGTTTGAAAAAGGTTAAAAAACAACCCGGTCAAACAGTCAACTTGAACATAAAGATGACTAAGGACGGTAAAACATATGAGAACAACCGGTCACGATCGAAATTGCCAGGGAAATATCGTGTAATAAATAAGACGCTGACTCCTACATTAAGTGGGCGTTGACAATGTTGTCCAAAATGACAATGAACGCTCCTTCAACGTAATCATCTAGCTTACAGAACCTAAGAACATCGAGAGTGAAGGACATCAAACTTTTCAAGAATTACTGACCTATACCAGATTGTTAGTAGGGCGAGTTGATATTACCATACACAATTGGTTTTCAATGTCGAAAACTGCGAAAAACACACAGAAAACGGACTTTTGAAAACAGAGTATAAGTCGATAAAACAATACAGAACTGTAAATATAGACAGAGAACTTTTACAAGTCTAGATTTACATGCCTAAATGTTAGTAGCAATTCAGTTCACTTTGTAGACATTATATATATATATATAATTCCTAAAATTTCGCGATAGAAACAGCCCAGTAAAACAATATGTTATTGCGCAAAGCATGGCAATAAGGTGTGCACCTACATGTCTTAAATACCGAAATTGAAGAAACTATGCTGTCGTCAACAAGGGATTCACAATCCAAAATAAGACTGGGACAAGGTCATATTTACATTCAGTGTGACCTGTAATTTATATGTTTTAAAGTATTGCGTAACTTTCGCAGTAACTTTACGACTACTGAATCTTTCATAGTATGTCTGCAGATATGAAAATGCACCGTCTATGTATAAGTTATTTTATCATATCTCTCACAAATGTTGATGATAATATAGTCTCTGTTTGTTTAATGCTGTTATTAATACTAAAATTCATCAATTTTACGGTACCAGAACCAAAACGTTAGGTAATTTCCAAAAATATACAGCTTGGCAGTCGCTTAAAGCTACTATTTAAGGGCATATGCTCAAGTAACAATGTCGAATTGAGGAATAGATTTTATGAAGAGCTTCTCCTATAGATGATTACCTTAAGGGTCTCACGTTTATATTCTTCAGTAAGGAGTCTGTGCCTTATTTCATCGCACTATTGTCAGTTCCTACCTTCATTACTTTGTAGGTCAAACACTTTAAAGACATAGATGCCGATACCATTCCTTTGTGCAGTTTTATGTCATCAATATACATATCCCAGGGGAAAATATATCGGCTGTTTGTGCTCGACAAAGTCAAAAATCGAAACGATGTGACGTCCTCTAATCTTGATCAAATCAACTTACAACAAGCATATAATTTAAGGGAAGTCTAGTCTATACTGTGGCAGTTCTTCAGGATGTAATATGAACTCCTTCCTATCACAGTGTTTGCATTTCATCCTCCCATACTGTGTCATTATGTTGAGGACGATACAGGTATTCAGTGTTTGACAACGCTTCTACCAGTAACACCTTCTAATATAACTAGTACCCACCGAGAGAAATCAAAATGCAGAGACGAGGAGATCGGAAGAGTGTATTTGGCGATAACCAATATATCGGGATTCTCTGATCTAATCTGGCTAGCGATTGCGGTAGATGTTGAGCACAGCGTTACAACACGTGATCTGGTGCGGATGCATGACCGAGCGCCTTCAGGTAGATTAATCCACTAAAACATATGGTCAGCATCCAATGTCGAAAACTTACAGAGCTATTTAGTTTGGGGATTTATTTACCGCTACAGATTACTCCCCCCCCTTAGTGGGACAGTGATGACCTTAAGATGTGGCCAGCCAGAAGTTTAAACCCAATGAGTTCGCCGTTGGTAAACACTCTTCTGATAGCTTACTAAATTTAGCAGTGTCTGGTCGTCTTTCCTTAATATATGGGACCGAGGTACAACATAGTAAAAAAAAGAAAAAAAATGGTCGTCGATGTGCATCTCGACGAACGAAAACGTGTGTACTATATTGTAAGTCAGGTTGAACGAAAACATCGGTGGATTGTGGTCGTGTGGAAGCAGGTTTAACTGGACGCATTGCTTTTGTAAGCCTGTTCGTGTGGGAGGTTAGATCCATGTTCATTGAAGAGGATGAAGGATCCACGAATTCTCCTGGAAGTCGAAGTGTCGTTCCATAAACGAGTTGAGCTGCAGTGTATCCAATGTCAGCTTTCACTGCATTGCGGATACATAGTAAGACGAGTGGAAGAGCGTCGGTCCACTGTGGAACGTTTGCAGCTGATAGTGAATCTTTTAGTTGTCGGTGAAAACGTTCTACCAACCTGTTTGCTTGTGGGTGGTAGGCGGTCGTTCGGAAGCAAGTGCTTCCTAATAGTGTGGTCAGACTCAAACTGACGTCCGCGGTCTGTAGTGATGGTTGAAGGGCAACCGAAGTTTGTTACCCATCGTTCGACGAAGGTGCGGGCCACTGTTTCAGCAGTGATGTCCTTGATAGGTACTGCTTCTGGCCATCGAGTGAAACGATCTACACAGGTTAAGAGGTAAGAGTATCCATTTGAATCTGGTAAAGGTCCTACCAAATCCAGATGAACATGGTCGAAACGAGCATCGGGAGTTTTAAATGAGCCTAAGGGACATTTATTGGTCTGATGACATTATCATTCGCGCGAATCATCGGTTTATGCAGTCGAGCGAATCTCCTGCAAACTGAAAACGACATTGTCGTCTCTATCCCAACACTGACAGTGTTTTTCTTTGGTATCATTGACATGAGTCCAGAGCGATACTCTTGGTTTCTTATGTTCTTTTCGATATTTTTCTGTTCACTAACCAAACAAACACGCAGCACTCACCGTTTATCATCTTTTAGAGACTTCATCGTGCCACCTTTGCTGTCGATTTGTAGCCTTCAACCCTTACTGACTGTAACAGCAGTCATCGACTTTTCAAACTATGACTACAAGTTGGTCAATAGCTTCACACAACGAAATCACGACCACTCTTCACGGTTATACTTTTGTACTTACGGTTAGTCCGTTAGATATAGATATAACTAGAATTCGACACTAATTAATAGCTGTCAAAGACACTGTCCGACTTACATTTTTAATCTAATGACAGTACAAACAAGGACATCGATTGTTAATACACTTGTCCTACTATCGCTATAGCATCATTACTCTTGCAGCAGACTAAACGTTTGTCATCAGAGGAACTGAATTACTTGTCAAGGCTATATATTTCAGCGCGACTTGATAGCACAATAAAACGTTTTGTTCTTTTCATTATTTCTATGGTTAATCAGTTTGCGTTTAAGCAACGTCCTACTAACATATTATGACTCGCTGTTTCCCGACGAGTCTTACAGATAAGCAATACCTGGAGGATTTATAATATTCGTTTGGCACTCTCCGGCGCGCGACTGCTCCTGACATGTTTGGTACCGATTCAAACGGCCGTTGAATCTGGTGGGGGAGTATTGTAGGGCCAGTGAAATGTCACTGAGCCCTAGCCGAATGATCCGGCAGTTGGATCACTGAATGTCGAACAGATCATCGCTCCCTGCCAAGGTCATGTACGACCAACGCGCATTAGTTAATCATATGCCATGGACTGGCCCATGCGGCAGTGGTCTTACATTCGCTTGTATTTACTTTAACTAATATATTACTGTAATAACGTCCTCTGTGTTGTACAGTCTTCAAAGCGTCTATGGTACCTTGATACGTCGATGGGGTAGTCCACGTAAGGTGCTGACTATGAGGTTTGACTTCGACATTAGCTAGTTTGTCACATCATTCACGTCTAACTCGAGTGGGCCTCCAATCATTTCGACATAGATCATCTACGTTGGTTATCTACACTGGTGAGCCTGACGTGATCGACACACGTGCACAATTCCTCGCAGTAGTCAAGGCACTACCGCGCGAATTCAACAGGTAAGTAACACCTAGTATGTTTACTAGTGATGTTCCTGAACCTTAAGAAATCCTAAAACGTTTGATTCCTAAACCGATCGACAAAGGTTAGATCAACTCTTCAATAACATCGACCTGCAACACGGTTCTGCGACGGACATGTTGCAACGAATGGCCTAGGAACTTTCGACGAAGGCCTATTCAAACAACTTTTCTCGTCTAAACTTCCTCAACAGGTGCAAACTGTGCTTGTCTCGTTTCAAAACAACGCCTTAGACGAGCTAGCTGCATCTGCCGATCGTATTTTAGAAATAACGAAATCGTCTATTACAGAGGTATTTTCAGTCAAAGAAAAGCCTCAAACGACTCAGAATGATATAACCGAGTTATGTCATATACTCACGCGTTATCTTAATCTTCGTAACGACCGTAATCGCTCACACAGCCCACGTAGAAGCATTTCACGTAAACGATCTGTCTCTAGTCCACGAGAGACGGATAATCCCGACTGGTGCTGGTATCATAACCAGTATGGAAAGTCTTCCAGAAATTGCAGAAAACCCTGCAATTTTCCCAACACGAAACCGACTGACTCGAAAAACAACTCGGGAAACTTCCAAGCCGGCACGCGTTAACGGCAACCGTAGCCGGCGAACATAGCCGTCTGTTGTACGTCACAGATGTGACAGCGAGAATTCGCCACCACGTCGACGCTGGCGCAGTAGTTAGCATTCTCTCAGCAAATCATAACGATCGGCTCCACGAATCAACTCTAAACTTACAGGCGGCAAATGGAAAACCGATCGCTGCATATGACAAAAAGGTACGTTTACCTTAACGTGGGTTTACGCAAACCTATTCATTGAATTTTCGTTGTTGCAGATGTTTCTATGCCAATCCTTGGTATGAATCTTCTACAACACCATAATCTGATCATCGACACGCGCAAACGGAGGCTAGTAGACGGAAACACTAATTTATCCGTTTGCGTAACTTCTTTTACTGGTTGTAGATTATCCCCAGTCACAGTTAAGCATATGATAGACCCACTCTACCCTGGGATACAACAAACTCAACCGAAGCTACCGTGTGTAACCAGCAACGTTAAACATCACGTCGGGCTCACCAATGAGGATGATACAGGTATTCAGTGTTTGACAACGCTTTTACCAGTAACACCTTCTAATAAAACTCGTACCCACCAAAAGAAATCAAAAGACAGAATCGAGGAGATCAAAAGTTGTGTTTGACGATCGCCAATATATCGGAATTGTCTGATCTAGTCTGGCTAGCGACTGTGGTAGATGTTGAGCACGGCGTCCCCACACGTGCTCTGGTACGGATGAATGACCGAGCGCCTTCAACTAGATGAGTCCACTAAAACTAATCTGGTCAACATCCATTGCCGAAAACCTACAGAGCCATTTGTTTTGGGGATTTATTTACCGCTACAAGATAATCAAACAGAGAATAATTACACAACAATGTTATGGAAGTTGGAAAGATAATACGCAAACTAGCAAACATTTAAAGCTTACGGAACTTTTCTGCAAATCACCAGATTTGTAAGTAATTGTAGCACTAGAAAAATTATGGACGCCATTGATTTGAGGTTTGAGTATTAAGGCATGAGTGACGTTCGAGGAGGCAGGTATAACAGGCCACCGTGCAGAAGGGCTCCCATGAATCAGCGTAAATTCTGTTTCGGCAAAGATATCGAATAGCTCAACATCTTTGGCAGCGCGGCTAGTTGAAGGATACTGTGTAACCAGGCTAATCGACTTTCTTAATGACTGGCTAGCATGAGTAATCTGAGTATTAAACATCATACATTAATATTAAAATGTTACAAGCGTACAACTCGGAACCACTACCGAAAACCCCTGTCCATGGAATTCAATCAA